TTGCAGTCTGCCTACTTACTTACCCTAGAGGATGGGGTTCTTGGCTCCTGCTTTTGGCTGTTTGTCACTGCCCCCTGGGGCCTACAGTGTTTTCCAGCAACACGGGGGCGGTACGCAGGGAGGTCCCAGAACTTCAGTATGGCTTTTCCACATGATCATGGATAGTAGATGAGGTGACGCTATCTACTATCAGTGTTCTTCCAGTCTCGTCCTCCTGATTGAAACTTGTCTGTGGTATGTTGTCATAACAAAACTCACCTGAGTACTGCAGTGTTTCACAGAACAATCCCCAAAAGCTCCTTTAGCTAATACACTGCATATAAAATACTACTACATGCAATTTAAGCAATATTTCATCATTTACAAAGTACTTACAGAATTTTATTTGACCTATTTAGAAACCATATTGAGTAGGTAGCAATGATGTTATTACTCACAAGGTATACACGGAAAACGAGGCCCAGACAGGTGAAAACCAATTGCTCAAAGTCAAGTAGTTCATCAGCAGAAGAACCAGAATAGGAACACAGATGTTCTGCTTCCTAACTCAGAGGTATTTCCAACACACTGAGTCTCTCCCTTCCCCCCTTTTTTTCCCTCTGGTTTTACCTGTACAGAAAGAACACACCTCTGGTTTGTCCATTTTGTTTTGCTTTGAAAGGCACAATTATCTTGCTTCACTACTGAACTGGAGGTTGGGTGAGTATAGATATTGATAGGAAAGTCTGATTAAGGTAGATTTAGGGTTGTTCTATCATTTTTGAGAAAATAAAAAAATCCTCTAGTAATATTTGAAATATACTTCTCGATACCCATCCCTTCTGCCTTTGTTCATTTGGCATGAAACCTGTCATATCAGGTACATTACCTAAGAATAACCTTGCTTATGACCTTTCATCTGGTTGCTCACCTGCCCCAAAAGTATCTCCATTTACGTGTGTGTCATTTATACTTAATTTCTCTATACTCACATATCCAAGACTAAAATTAAGTGAACAGTTTTGATGATCCTATTTGATGCAATTATCTGTTGTTTTTCTCAAAAAATGCATCACAGTCTCTAAAATTACAGATAGGAAGTTTGAGGGATAATTTCTGAAGTGACAGTCGGGGGAAATGTTAGCATCTATGAAGACAGAGGTATTATGATATGATGATTTGACTGATGCCCGAATCTGTAGAAAATTAAGATTATTTTATATGTGAAACTCAAGCCATGTTGTAGTCTTGTGCCCAGTACTTGAAAGCAAACACATCTGAGCTGGCCTTTGTCAGGCATGCAGCAGCTCTAAGACAGCCCTGCAAAACTGTAGAGGAGTCAGTGAATACACTGTATGTGTTACATTAAATTGGGACATAAAAGCCATTTTGTGTTGCTGCTTCAGTTTCTCCATCCTCAGCCTGACTTACAAAACCAAGATGTATAACCATACATATCAACCTAGAACTTTGCCCTATGATGCATTGTCTCTGAAAGCCTCTTTTCTCCTTCCTGTCAGTCCTCAGCGGCACTATGGCTGAATGAGTGGTTGTGTTATTCACAGATGTATGTGGCTATCATCCTGCATGAGTGGGTCTGTTTCTGTCCTTGACTCACTTTTTCTTCTTTCCTTTCTTTTTCTCTCTCTTCCTCAGTCTCAGTACCAGCCAGACCTTTTCTGTTTAACTCTATTCTTTTATTTCTGAAACACTGAGAGTGCTATTCAGAGATGTATCTGTACAGAAAGAACACACCTAGAGAGCTCAACACTGTGCAACAGGATGTACTCCCTGAAAAATTTCAAATCCAGACAGCACTGTTGTCCTTCATTTCAGTCAATAACAAAAGCAAATCTATTCTCCTTTTGAATTTATGACAGAGGTAGCTTAGGTAATGAGCAAAATGACTCTCTGAATATGTGTCTTGACAGATGTAAAAATGACCATAAAAAAAGGCTATGTCAAACACTGCGGAAAAGTCAGATTTGACATTGACAGTATTTTCAAACAAAAGTCTATATAAATATCAGATGCTGCAGACATGAATAAGAGAAGCAGATTCTCACAAGGGGAGGTTGCCAAAACCTGAATATTCCATTAGCAAATAAATTAGGAGTATAATTACATACACATTGAAATATTTATATTTAGCATGAGGAACAGTCCTAACTACATATTTTTTACATTTTTCTTCTTCTCACAATTTATATCGTTTTGGGTTAAGTGGCAAAGGAGAGTACATTCGAATAGTAAGAGTAATTAATACTGATAGTATTTTATAATTATGTAGTACCTTCATATTAGTATTTGGCCCTTTTATATGAGTTTCAGAAAGGTTAAGTGATTTGCTGAACATGGATCAGTTTACAAATTTCAGAGCCAGGATTCAAGTGAAGATCTTTGCCTCTTTCTGGTCTTTCACTGTGGCAGCTTAGTATTTCTGAATGACATCTGTTGGACTCTAAACATCACAGGAAACATCATAACTTTCAGATTATCTTGGATAATTTCTATCCTAAACTGAGGTTCAAAGTTCCCTCAACCCTATACTTCTTCTTTTCTTCTTCTTCTTATGCTATATGACACCTCAATGCTGAATCAGAGACTGATTCAAATTTCTATTCTAAAATACTACCAGAGATACTTGAATAGGTACATAGTTTAATCTTTGGGAAAATGGATTTCATGTGCAATATTAAAGATAATATATAAATAAACATATAAACATACCCTGAATTACACCTTACAGAGTATCATTATAAAGAAAACAATAGTTTTAAAGAATAAAAGTAACTATGGCAACCTATAGAGTCAAATCAGGCTGCCTCCCAGGCAGCATCAGTAGCTCCTAGTTGCCTCAGTAACTTTCCATTACAATGTGTCTCAAACACATACATTTTGAGACACATTAGCTGAAGCTGAATTCCCTACTTAATGTTCTCAATTTAATTTTACCTTTCTGTGCTGATGAATAAAATAATCTGATTACACAATTTGCTTTGGGTTTGTCTCACTGAAACCTTTTCATCCTCTTGCATTTCAGAGAGCTACTTGATGCTGGAATGTCTATTTTTTGATATCCATTAGTGAGAAGGAATTGAGACAGAGTCAGGAGACAAGAGACAGTTTTAGTAAAACAGCTCCTGACTATCAACAGTTATCCACCCTGACTGACCCCTGTACCCCCACATTTTCTAAGTGTAGAGGGTTGACTGGAGACAGTAGAAAAAAATACTAAAATCAGCAACATCTTCCTAGTTTCAAATCAAGGCTGGGCTCCAAAATAAAGTGAAAACCTAAATAGATACTGAGACAAGGATCAATCTTATTTTATTGTAGGCTGAGAAATGGTAGCACTGGGGACTTCAACAAATATTTATTGTTTACCTACAATATGTGACATAGTGTTTTAAGGTATGTGGAGGATAATAGGTGAAAGAGACTGATTTTTGCCTTTAAAATATTATCTAGTGGAACAGAAGCAGGTATGTGTGTGTCTCTGTGTGTGTGCACACACATCTAGCAATAACTATATATGACAAATGTAATGAGATAAGTACAGATAAAAAGTTCTTAGTGTCTGAATGAGTTAACAGAAGTCTTCTAGTGATATTTGACTTTTTAAAACTGGAAAAAAGAAAAACATGGAGAATAAACAGGTTTTCTGGAGTAAAATTATGTGGAGATAAAACTGGGGAGATGGAACAGGATAATGGGAAAATGTTGATGCTATCACTTGGAATCTATTTTTAATTTAATAATAAAAAATCACAAGCTTTTTGAAAAAGAGTGTGGTAAAAGTTAATCTATAATTTTTTTGACTGATTGATAGAATACTACAGAAAGAAAAAGGTAGTAGATACGTAAATTCAGATACACAGGCAAGAAAAAAATGAAGGCCAGAATTACGTTAAACAATGGAATTGTAAAAAAGAGAATGTTAAGGGGCACTATGGGAAGAGAATATTGATGTTCACAAATTGGGGATTGGAAGGAAAAGAAAAAGATGAATAAAGAGTAAATGGGCCATAAATAGAAGAAATATTAACACAAATATTAAGTTTTTCATTCATTAAATATGTATTGAGCAAGAGTAAGAGAAGGGGAGCAATATGGATAGATTTTTATTTATTTATTTACTTTGAAGACAGAGTCTGTTCTATTACCTAGGCTGGAGTGCAGTGGTAAATCTTGACTCATTGCAACCTCCACCTCCTAGGTTCAAGTGAATTCTTGTTCCTCAGCCTCCTGGGTAGCTGACATTACAGACATGTACGTACCACCACGCCTGGCTTAATAGAGACGGGGTTTCACTCAGTTGGCCAGGCTGGTCTCAAACTCCTGGCCTCAGGTGATCCACCCTCCTTCACCTCTCAGAGTGCTAGGATTACAGGCATGAGCCACTACATCCCACATGATACAGACAGATTTTTAAGCCCAGAGATACATAGTTATGAAGGCCAACATTAGGCAATTTTTTTGCCATCTTGGTAAAGCAAGAGTACTTGCTCCTAAAGTGTGGATTAGAAAAAGGCCTGAGAAGAGACTCTACATACACCCCATTATTTATATTGTTTGATCAGTGAAAATTTAGTCCACAGAGGAAAAGCCATGATCATTAGTTACACACAGACCTATCAAGACATCCTACCCAGGCACATGTATGCATTACCATAGGAATCATAGGGATACTTAAGGCTGTTCAGATCTACTACTAGGTGGTATATAAGAACTAAAAGGCAGTTTCTAATCTCATAGATATTTTCTCTTTCTCTCTCTCTCTTTCTTTCTCTCTCCCTCTCTCTCTTTCAAGTGGCATTACCAGCAAAAAGAAACATAAAGTGTAGCCCACCTAAATCAACAGCATATTGATGTACATTTTTTTCTCTGTCATTTTTTTCCCCTGTAAGAAGTGTTTGCTATTTAAAATCTGTTACTAGGTGATAATAGCAAAGCACATTTTTCTCTCTTTTCCAGAGTCAACCCCATACATTTCACTTTGTATTTGCAAGTAAAAATACCTGTTGCCGTGCACATGAGAGGCACAGAATGCAAAGCTGTAATGGAGCAGGGTAGGGTCAATGACAGCACCATTTTCTGAATGTTCCATCAGTTCTGTAAGGTAGCAGAGATGTCTGTGACAGCCTCTTACGCCATAACGGGCACAGTACTCATCTAACACAAAGACTTGGCCGGGGCTAAACCAACCCTGCAAAGTAGGAAAATAATAGATATATATGTTTTTTCTTTCTATACTAATATTTGCTTTCCTGAAGGCACTTTTGGGCCTTATAAACAGAAGCTGCATGAAAATATCTTGACATTTATTATATTAATGGTACATTTCATGTTATTTTCAGAAGAGATAATGTCATCAATTGTTAAACTGATTTGGGACACTGGCGACCTAATGCTATTCTCTCTTTACTGTCACAGCAAGGCATGAGTAACTTGTGCTTCCCCACTATCATTCAAAATTAGCCACATTTATTTATAGGATCTAAATGATCACACACAGAGTGTTACTCCAAAAATTTCACTCTCTTTATGAATCAATTAAAAAGAGAATAAGAAAGAAAACATTATAGATGAAATTTCCTACTCACCAAAAGTTTTATAAAGTGAACCAAAAGAAAATGTCATTAATTCTAGCAGCAGTATACTATTTGGGAGCTTAAATATCTGGTATATTTTTCTCATTTTGTTTGTCTTTCTATGACTAATATAACAGAGTTAGTGCTTTGTATTAGCAGTTTCTGTTCCTCCTGAAATGAGATGTTAGATGTATGTGCGTGCATGCCACCTGAACACAATAGGCAGTTTATGTGGCTAAACCTAGAGTACAGGGTTAGGTGGAGCTGGCTTATAGAATATCTTGATGAATTATATGGATTTACATAGATTAACTGAATAAAAGAAAATAGGGAAGTATAGAGAGTTTTTAAAAGGGGCAGGGTAATCATGTAAGAGAAAGAAAAGAATAATGAGAAAAAGGTGAGATGGCAATAAAGGAAAGGAGGAAGAAAAGAAAAGGAAGAAGAGAAGGACCATCATGCATGGTAGTTATATGGCTTCCATGTCACAGATAAATAAGATAAAGCTCAGGGATGTTAATTGTCCAAGACCACACTGCAAATCAGCTATTGAGCCAAGATTTATATTCACAGTCATCTGACTCCAAACACTTTCTAAGCAAGTTATACTCACTCCCCTCTTGGTGCAGCGGAAGATCTTGTAGCATTTTCCTCAGACTCCATATTACACTTGGGGTCATCAACAAAATCAAAACAACTTTTGATAATTGAATAATATATTTGAGTGGAATCTAAGAGGACACTATGTGTTTGTCCATGAAAAGACAGAATAGGATTTTGAGAGGATTTGTTTTACTCTCCATGTGATTGTAAAGTTTGAGTTGGATCAGGATGAAATTAGACTTAATAAACAATCCATAAATGAATTAATGAACTGTTAGGGTGAGCATGGCAATAAGTTGTTTCACTTTTTCCTATCTGAAGTATCTTTAGTGGGGGAGGGTATTTTGTCTGAAATCTTGTTTTAAAGAGAATGTGACTTTATTGCATGAAGTTACAGGTTGAGCATCCCTAATTAAAAAGTCCCAGATCTGGAATGCTCCAAAATCCAAAATATTTGAGTACTTCCATTATGCTGTTAAATCAAGTTTAGCCTAAAGCTGTCTCCTTACATATTTTAAGTTTAGCATAAAGGTTTCTTTGTACATCATGAATTATAAACTAAATGGAACTATAAACAGACTGTAGTCTACTATTGTGTCAATCACTGAGTTTGGGCCAATCAAAGGTGGCCAACTTTTCAAACCGTGCTCAAATAAGGCAAATGCTGAGCTGTAACCAATCTGGCTGTTTCTGTACCTCACTTCCGTTTCCTGTACGTCACTTTCCTTTTTCTGTCTATAAAGCTTCTTCTACCATGTGGCTGCACTGGAGTCTCTGAACCTACACTGGCTTGGAAGGCTGCCTGCTGCCTGATTCATGAATTCTTCTTTGCCCAATTAAGCTTGGTTAAACTTAATTTGGCTAAGGTTTTTCTTTAAACAATGCTCAAAGAAAACTGATTTTGGATTTTTGGATTAAGGATGCTCACCTTGCAGATAAAATGCAAATATCCTAAAATCTGAAGAAAATTAAATATCTGAAACACTTCCGGTCCCAAGCATTTTGGATAAGAAATATTCAACCTGTACTATGCTCAGTGTCCTAAAGATTAAAGTGGTGATAGAAATAGGCATATTCTGGCTGTAAAAATTTCAGAGGAATTGTTATTAACAACGTAAATGCTTGGAAAAACACACATAGTTCTTAGGTTATAAAGTTTAGTCCCCATATTCTGAGATGTCAAGCATTCCTCTACAATTTCAACACATACCAAGAAAGAGTTTACTCAATTTAATTCACTCCTTTCCTTTTGTCAAGGAATTCAAGTTATATTTTGGATGGCTAGATGAAACTAAAACTTTCCTTGGTTATGTATAGCACCTGTCATATTTTCAATTCCACTCTTTCTCTCCCCTGTCACTTAGGTTATCCTTATAAGAGCAAAAGAAAGAAATGCGAGGTGTCAACATCTGAGGAACAGAACTTCAACTTTAAAATGTCTGTACAGGTGTAAGTCCTATAACAGAGGTTTTAAAAAGTCTTCATTTAAAGGCTTCTGTTTTCACTGAGCCTTCTTTAAAAGGACTTACAAACCACAATTTAGCATCTATTTGAGTCTATTCTCCTGTCTATTGAGTGGCACAGCAGTCGTCTTCGAGTGTATAATTTTCAAATTGGGAAGCAATCGATTGGAATCCTTTATCCCTCACTCCAACTACCATTACTAAATGAGTCAGGGATAAAATTGCTGCTTTATAACAAATATTTCTCACTTTCTAAAATCTTTTATTCCAACCTATAGGGCACTAGATAGATAGACTTGTACTCACCAAACAAGAATAGGAATCATTCAGTCTGTGATCCAAAGTCTGCCTCTGGAGTATTCTAAAAAGGAAGGCGTGATCAAGCTTGCAGGGGTTTGCAGAAATAAACTCATCCATGCCATGTTTCTGAAAACGATCTCCATCTGTAAATTCAGGTATAGTATATTTACTTTTCAGGCTTAATGATGGACAGATACAGGTTGTAAAGAACAAAAAATGTACGACTCATAACAGAAGATTATCTTTTATCACATAAAATATGATGCCAAGAATTCAGCATATTAACATAAATTGGAAACTTTTTGAAGCCTAAGTAAAAACTACAGTGAAAAATCTACAAATTATTTAGAATGAAATAATTCTGTTTCCATTCAAAGCTATTGCTAATATCCATCAGAGGAATAATAATCTTATTTTCCAACATTAAGAAAAGTAGTATTTTAAGTCTACATTTACTGATGGAATTGACTAGAAAAGAACTAAGGTCTATTAATAAAAAACAGCAACGATGGCCAGAAGACTGCTTTCCAAATGGCAAACTAGGGCAGAAATGAACACACACGCTTCAGCTGGATCACTTCCAGTCTTTTTGTATGGAGCTTTTAATGGGACTATCCTTAATGTAAAAATGGCAATGAGCGCTCTCAAGCTTCAAGTTTAAGAGACATAAAAAAGGGAGCATCATGTTTGTGCAAATATGCAGACAAAGCATAACGTTCCAAATGGCACTTCAATCAAAGGCCCAAATTTATTGTTCTTTACAGATTGCATCTTTCAATGCCTGTAGACCCTGCGGGTTTATCAAAAGGCAAGCTTTTATGATTGCTTTCATTAATGGTATGTTTTGTCAAAGTCTTCAATGTGAGTTATTTACTAAGTATAGGGGAAAAAAGCCACACACTATCCCAAAGGAGTGCTGGGGTGTTATTACATTAGCTCTGTAAGAAACATAGCGCATATTGAGCAAGCAATCAGTTATCAAGATAAAAGTGGTCTCTTCTCACAATGGTAAAACTGAAGCCCCATTGTTCCTTAAAATTCATAGATAGATCTCTTTCTGGTCATCATAAGAAAAGCAGACTTCTAAATGTAAGCTAAGTGTAGTTTCTGAAACCTATACAGTACAATCCTAAAATTGTAAAGGAAAAGAGACAAAAGTTTATTGATTAAACCCAATTATAGAGTTGGACTCATAATAAAACTCAGTATTGATCTGTGGACATGATGCTAACATAATCAGTCACATTTAGATATTTAGCCCAGATCATATTGATCCATGTCAAGTTCAACTTTCAGCCATATTTGTAGATGGAAGAACTGTATAATTCAAGCTGAAGGGTCCTCAGAATCACACTAAAAAAAAAAAGATATACAAACTAATGTACATCTCACATCAATGACAGATATGAAAAGGTGAATATAGCAAGTAATCAATGAAAGGCAGCTTATTGATATGTAGCGTATGAGGTTGTAATCCATGGAGAAAACAGCACATATATACCTTTACATTTAATAATTACCTGAATGATTAAATACATTACACGTGCTAAATTAATATTAACTGGATAAACACAAAACTAAACAGCTTTTCCTGAACTAATATACAATTCAACTTCTTTTGTATTTTATTATTGTCTCTTTCACTATAAAGTTAAATATATGATAATGTAATGTGAAATAACATCAGATGAGTAGGAGGCAGAATATTAAATCTGTACAGCTCACATAAAATTGGAAGTTTTGTTGTATTTTAAAAAATTTTCTTAGAATATTCATTTTTCCATTTATCTCAGCAAAAAATTCTTTTAGTATCATTATTATGAAATTAAATTACTAGTTTTATAAAACATCTGCTAAATTTTATACCTTATTTCTTGCACCAGGGAAGGTTACAATAGGAGTTAAAAATAACGCCAATTAATGGTTAATTTGTTGAGAACAGGACAGTGATAAATTTCACTGGAAAAAGGCCTACTATAAAGATTTGTAGAAGCAATTAAAAAATGGGCATACGATCTTTAAATAAAAATGTGATTCTGAAAAAAGAGTCTATAGTCCATTTCTATAATTAAATCATACTTTTGTAAATTTATAAAGTACTTTCCTCGGGTAATACATATACCAAACCATATGTCTACTAAGATAACAAGTCTTTCCAAATCACATACATGAATGGAACATTATTTTTCAAACAATTACTATTAGTGATAAAAATGATATTAACGACAGCACTTTGAGTCACAAATACAGACTCTACTTGGAAAAAACAGGCAAACAAACCCACTAAATTTTTTATTTAAGAAAATCAACAACCTTCAATTTCTCTGGAGCTGTAATTTTGTGAAAGTGAAATGTGCTCTTTGGAATCACTCTATCTTTAAAACACAGGCTGTGAAGACCAAGCATCTTTACTTCTTTCTTTCTATATCAGATCAGCACCATTTGGAACATTTCATGCAAAAATACATCACCATGTGCCAGTATAGCCTTAGTTTCCATGAATTTACGTATAAAATAAATAAAAAAGTAACAGTCTTGACCTCCCTGAATGAAAAAATGAGAGAGAGAGAGACAGAGACAGACAGGCAGGCAGGCAGATAGGCTGTGTTTCATTTTCAAGAACAGGCAGTCAGTTTCAGTTTGCTGTCCCTCTGGCCCTTGTTTTAAACAAAATAATAGCAATGTATACAAGTGTTTCTAACATATTGAAAGTGCCAGGCACGGTGGTTCATGCCTGTAATCCCAGCACTTTGGGAGGCCGAGGCGGGTAGATCACCTGAGATCAGGAGTTCGAGACCAGCCTAGCCACCATGGTGAAACCCGTCTCTACTAAAAAATACAAAAAATTTGCTGGGTGAGGGGCACCAGCTACTTTGGAGGCTGAGGCAGGAGAAATGCTTGAACCCGGGAGGCTGAGGTTGCAGTAAGCTGAGACTGCACAAACTGCACTCCAGCGTGGGCCACAGAGTAAGACTCCATCTGCTGCCCCCCAATAAAAACATACTGAAAAGTGAAATGTAAGGCAACAATAGCATCAAAGCTAGGAGGGGTGAAATAGATGTAATACTACTGAAATGCTTTTTTAATAATAAAATTGGGTGTGTATGTATATTTAAGCATTACAACATGATATTATGGGATACATATAGATAGTAAAATAGTTATACATAGGAGAAGATTAATAATTCTATCATGTCACATAGCTACTTTTTTGTGACAGAGCAGCTAAAATCTACTTACTTAACAAAAATCACTAACAGTACAATTTTCTGGATTCTAGTTGTCATGTTATACATTGTATCTCTAGACTTGTTCATTCTACATATGTGCTAGTTTCCATCCTTTGACCTACATTTTCCCATTTCCTCCCTGCTCTAAAGTTCTCTCATGAACTAATGTAAAATAGGAAATCAGATACCATTAAAACATTATCTGATTTCTTATTTTAGCTTTCTACAGGCATAACATATCTGTATGTAACTCCTGAGAGACACAGGCATCATTTAAATCAAGTGCAAAACATGCTTTTAGTCAATTACCGAATCCAAGGCTTCAAAATAGGGTTAAACTGGATTATCTTCAATTAATGTTACTATGACACAACATGATGGTAGCTAGTTTTAAACAGAAAATTATTCATGGTGTCACTAAAATTTCTCTGATAATGGAAATTTTCAGTTCAATCTATCTTCCAAAAAAATGACAACTATCAAAACAAACCAACAAGCTATGAGCTTAAGCAATATGCTGCAAAACTGTCATAAATTGTGATGATTAACCTATGGACTAACTACAGATGTGGGACACGGTAATTGAGGATACTGGTGGAGTTTCTATGGCAACACTTGGATATATGCTCCAGCATCTTTAGGGGGTACTGTCACCAGGTGTGCTAACAGTAGATGGAATGAAACCCAAATTGAGAAAGATTACTGTTTGCTATAGATTTAAGAAGTTATAGAGGCTATATGTAAGTGAAACCTAAAAATTAAACTTTTTCACTAGGATAACAGCTGCTGGAAGTTAAGAGAAAAGAATAAGCAGGTTGACAGTATCAACTTAACAGACTTGAAAATAGCTAGTATTAAAAATGACATGAGGACTATCTGTGAGCTACTAGACCCCACTGTGGTGAGGGAGCTTTTTGGTGGGCACTGACCACAACCTGCCCCTTAAGTGCTCAAAAATCCTAATCCCAGGAAAGGCATCTAAGTCAGAGAGAATGTGAGATCGAAAAAAATAACTGAAATATTTCTTTTTTCTTTGCCACAAATTCTCGTGATACTGCATTTGTTGCTGGCTCCCATTGTTGTGAAAAATCATGGATATAAAAGGAAAAGGGGAATAAAAGGTAAAGGGGCATTCTGGAGGAGAAAAGGAGGCCATTTATTAGCTTTCTGAGGTCACTCCAGTGTCTGGGAGTGGGACTCTAGTATCAAAAGGACCAAGAGGATGCTGTCAGCCAAGACTGCTCTCTGCAAAACACTGAGCTGAACTAAGCAGCAAATGAACCTTTTGAAATATAATACAATGTACTGTCCTGTGTTTAGGAGTTCATCTGTAGCTGCCTTTACCACTACTCACATCTGATTATACACTTTTTATAATTCAAATGCTCATAGAGCTTGAGAAGGTACAGGAAGTTAAAAGTGACACAGCAAAGTAGGTGTCACTTCTCTTTTTATACCATCCATGTAGGCTTTAATAGGAAGAGTTTAATATTTTTAAATTTTATCTAGATCAGTCTAGACAGTATGTCCACATTTTATGTACACACTTGCTGCTGAAAAGCAAAGGAGTTTGTTCACACCTCTATTACTGACCCAAATAACTGTTTAGCTTCTTTTGCTTAAATTGATTCAAAACCCGATACATGAATTAACATATCTTGCTTTCTGCAGCAAATAACACGTAAGTAATACTTTCACATGACAACTTTGATCGACACAGAAGCTTAGAAGTACAAATAAGCAAAGTAAATATTGAACATTTATTAGAAAAAATATGTTCAATGAAAAGAAAGACAAATGCATTTCCAATGAAGTGTGAAATTTAACATATTAGATCAATCAGGAAAATAAGTTCACAAAATTAAATGTCAGTTTGTATTTTAATGTAAGAATTTAAGAATATTAACTTAAAAATAAAAAAGATGGCAGTTTTTCTGGTTAATTTTTGATATTAATTTATTATTGGAAGTCAACTACTACTATGTCATACTGTATTATGTAACCTACAGATTGTATTACGTTACATATGTAACTGAGGGACAGTGAAAACCAGGGTACATGCACTGAAATTTGGTTGGAGAAAACAAAGAAGGATAGTTTAACCAAAGAATGTTAGTCAATTTGGCAATGGTAGTACATTATATTTGAAGTGACAAATTGTTTACCAGCCTCATCCCCACACCTTCAGCTCACTCTCTTCCCTTAGAATTTTTATATATCCAGAGAGTCAAACAGACAAAAAAAAAGATAAATGGAATTGATTTGTTTATTAGAGAAATCTATACATACATATTATTAATGTCCTAAAAAGATAAGGTTGTCTTCCAGTAAGTTAGATTTTATAAATTTTTTTATTTTTCTTAGTTATTAGTATGCTTAGTATTAAAAAAATAAGCTTCTTTTTTTTTTTTTTTTTTTTTTTT